TAAAAAAGAATTGAACTATTAGTATAAATATTCCAAAAAGAGATTAATTTGCGACTGAATTAAAATCGACAGATTATGTAAAGGGTTTTTACATCATTAGACAAAAGAAACTAAGTCCTAAAATGATAGCATATAATTTTCCTATAATAACAAATATTAAAAGACGATTACATATGAATATTTAAAATGATAGTATTATTTTTAATTGGTTATGCAAATGATAAAAATATAAAATATTATACTTCACATTTTCATCCAACAATATCATCTCTGTACTCGTAAAATCTCCACTATTGTTGAAAGACACAACCCACAATCGTGATAAAACTTTTATTTTCTAATCATCACTATTGTATTCAAATTTTCAATTCTATCATACTTTTCACTTATATTTGATAGTTTACGGCTGCAAAAATATATTAAATAATCTTTAAAAAATGAGACAAAAAAAAGTTTGAATAAGAATTACTTACCCTTTAGTGGAAATAGTTGAAATGTATAAAATTCTGAACTTTTAAGAAAAAATGAATAATATATTTAAAGGGAGGGACAAATATACTTTTGTCAAAAATACATAAAAAATATAGTGATACAACTTATATATATAGTATTTTTAAGAAAGTTAAAGTGTTTCTTGAGAGTAAATAATTTAAAATTAAAAAAAGTGCATTACTATACCATTTAAAAAAAATTAAACGAAACACTAATAAAACTACACAAATAATCAAATCAAATGTTAAAAACATTTATACACTAATAAACCGTTGAAATGTTTTGGTATTTTCACAAATTTGAAGCTATTAATAATACACGAAAACGTTTGTTATTAAACTTTATCATTTTTAAAAAATTAATAATTAATAATAACTACTTAAAGGCATTAATACATTAAATAACCAAATCAAACCAAATCAAAAATACTAATTCAAAATAAATCCAAACCAAGACAATACATTTGTTACAAAACAATACATTAATACATTGAATAATTCATTGTTATTAAACTTTATCATTTTTAAAAACTAATAATTAATAATAATTACTTAAAGCCATTATACATTAAATAACTAAATCAAATGAAACCAAAAGAACTAATTCAAAATAAATCCAAACCAAACTAAAAATATTAATTCTAAATAAATTCAAACCAAACCAATACATTAATACATTAAATAATCAAATTAAACCAAACCAAGTGGAAGCATAATTTGAGGAATATGCTACATGTCAAATTAAAATGACAAATAGGTATGCCACATGTCAACTTTCTAGGAAAAAATGCTTGCTTTATACATATACTAGCAGTATACCTGTGCTATGCACGGTTAAAAAAATAAAGTAAATATATTATACTATATTATTGGTTTGGTTCTTAATAATTATTTATTATTATTATTTATTTTAATATATATTGATTGGTTTGGTTCTTTAATAATATTTATTATTATTATTTATTTATTTAAGCTATAAAACTAAAAAAAATTAAAAAGTTTGAAAAGATTATAAAATTTTGATTTCAGTTGATAATGGAATCAAAATTGGCAATTCTAAAACCATCTTAAAAATTGCCTAAAAACAGTTCTTTTTTATCTCACACCTATTTATAACTAGAATTGATGGTTCTAAAATCGAAAATTGATAATTCTAAAACCATATTCATGCTTAAGCCAACGATGGTACCTGCCCTTAGCCTAAAAATTTTTTTCAAATTACAAAATTGGTGAATTTTTTTACTTTGTTTCTCAATTTTGGAAAAAAAAAAAAATTTCAACCCCCAACACGAATTCTGCCGCTGCTTTTAGAGATTCATTTTGATCATTAATGGCCTGAAATTAATTTATTCCTCAATCAATATTAAGTTTTCTTTTTAAATGATTTTTTTTTTAAATTTCTAATCCCATGGAAAAAAAAATTTATATTAGCTAGTTAGTTTGGATTTATAATCATGTAATTTTTATTACATTTTTTTTCACTTACATGAGTTATTCAGGCTAACATCCGTTTTTAATGGTCCATAAATCTAATTAATCTCCGTTTACATTCGAAGGCAAAGAAATTGGTCCGGAGGAATTTGCATTGCAGAAAATCAAACTCATAACCTAAGTCATGGTGATCAACTCCGCAAGTATTTTTTACTACTAAGCTATCCAATTCGAATTAATTATTATTAGACTTTAAGTAGACATCATTGCATATATAGTTTTCTTTATTATATATATATTTATCCAACCTCACCTCGCAGGACAGTGCACATGCACAAGTCAATTTAAAATAGTTTTAAGAGTTGATTTTGGGTCCATACCAAACATTAACAACTTTGTTTAGCATATTCATTATCTGGAGCCTACTTATCAATTTGACACTACATATTAGAATATTTGTGTAACAAATGGAATTGAAATCTAAAATAAAGGAGTGTGTTTGAATTTGAAATTTTTATATATCCATGGTTCGATATATATAATTTAAGTTTACATTTGAACACTATAGGTATTTTAAATAATTTTTGTTTCTTCATTGAATGATTCATAGGTCAAAAGACTTGTCTAAAAATAATTCTAAATCAAGACAAAATGTTTCTTCTCAAAAAATCAAATAAAAGATAATTAATAGACTTTATTTGTAAATTTGACCTAATAATTAAAGAGTAATGGTAAATTGCTAATATAATCCCAATAAAATTTGAGATAGATTAAATTCTAATCATACACATTCTGTTTGTAATTTGATATTTTCCAAATTTTTCCACTTTATCCAGATAAAAATTTAGCTAATAATCTTTGCTGATAATTAAATTCTTAAGCTATATTTGATCGTAATGTAATATAATTAAATCTATTATTGTTTATCAAAGGTAGCCTATAGTTTTGTCATTTAGGTTGGAAATTTTGCTGCGAAATGCATAAATTTACTCATATATTTATCATAAAAAATTTATAGTGCTTTTAATTTTTACTTCGATCCATTGAACACTTCGAATTAGAAAATTGGATGTATTGAATACTTTCACTTGTAAAATCATTTTATTGAACACTTCAACTCACAAAATTATATATTAACTAAACACTTATTAGACATTGAAAATATAAAAATTATTATTCAAAAAAATCATGTTACTCACACGTAAAATTACTATTTTACATGTAAAAATCAAAAACCCAAAGAACTGTTGTTGTTATATGGGGAGGTATGAAATGTTATCGAAATTTGTAATTTTAGAGGTATAAAAGTTCTCTCGTAAAATTTGAGTACCATAAAAATTCTTGTAAATAAATATAGACGTGAATTGATGTATTTAGCTTAATTTTGTTTATTAATGTTAACTTTTGTTTCTTTTTTTCATTATATTGTTATCTTATTTCATGCTAATTCAGTAGAGAGAATTGAGAAAAGGAAAAGGAAAAATGAATGTAAAATTCAATGTAAGATAATTGTTAAAGGTTTTAATATAATTGTTTTCCGGCTCAAAAGATATCAGTCTTTCATTCAATTGTAAGATGAGAAGTGAAGGATAGTTTGAATCCTATTAAAGGTATTTAAAGTATTTTAAATATCATACTCTATATTTTTAAATGGGATATCATACTCTAATTTAGTGATACATTATTATGGATAGGCATAAGACCATATATAGGTTGGTTAGTATTAAAAATCAACTTTAATTGTTTTTTTTTTCCTTACCTATTATTGTAAATAATCTGTACAAATCTGAAAATAAAATTAGTACATACATATCCATAACAATCAATTAGCTAGTGGTAAAAACAGTGAAAAGAATAGAAAAATAGCAGTAATAATTAATCAATAACACAGATCAATTTGGAACCTTTAACCTTATCCAGACTAATGCATATATATATATATATATATATATTAATCCAAAAAAACCACCAGATCAACTTTGGAACTTACCTTATCCAGACTAATGCATATATATTTATATTATATATTATATCATACAGAATATTCTATACATTCATAAAAAGATTAATATATATATATATATATATATATAACAGAATATCTATACATTCATAAAAAGATTATGACCACTCAAAATTTTTGGGGACCTACCCCTCTGTAATGGGTAATGCAATAATCTATACTCCCAAGAAACTGGGTAATACATACCGTGCACACTAGTCAATCGCATTATACAAGATTGGACAACAAAATTTCAGAATCCAATTATAAATCTATCAAAGATATCTGGTGCAAGCGTTGGATATAGAAATTGTCATGCCGGGAGAATCGCCTTCTATATAGATTCTTCAGTACTCACCCGGACGTAATTGAACCACAGCGAGTTTTCGGATACAGATGGTTATAGAGAAAAAAAAAAAAAACCAATAAATTCACTAAATAAGTTACCTGGAAAAAATTCAGGTCATTTGGAGAAAACCCATATTGGGAGCCCTTCCCCTTGAGAGTCTGCCGGGATATGAGCAGATTTAGGTCTAATCTACTGGGAGAAGACATACATGTGCTCTAGCACCAAAGAAACAACCATTAAAGATAGAAATTTTAAACTATTTGTGATCAATAAAGAAGAGAAAAATTAAAATTACCTTATGATAAAATAAACAAATATTACTATAAATATATATAATATTAAACTTTTGCGATCAATGATGAGTTGATTGATCAAGTGAAATAATCAATGGTATGGGCTTTATAGAAAGTCAACATATGGAATACATTAATAATTCCATATACATACCTAATAGGAGATAACTTAAAAGATTCCTCTTTGTAGGACCATTACATATTAGAACCTTCATGTGATGTTGCCATGTTAGGATGGACCCTACTCCAACTGTGTTAGTTTATTCTTTCAATTTTTCTTATATATAATGTTATTTAATAATTAATTTTTTATTTATAAATATAAAACTAATATATAAAAAAAAAAAAAACTAATTAAAGTAGAAATCTTTCTTTCCTTCTTTCTCTCTGCCAAATATTAATTAGTTAAAGTTTGAAAGTGGAATGATATCATCTAAAGACAGCCACTAGAAACCATTTTTCTCATCATTTACACCCAATGAACAGAAAGAAAGATACAGGAGTGGTTTCTTTATTTGTTCTATGATCTCCCCTAATAGACACAAACTAAGATACAAACACTAATTCTATATTTCTTTATTTATTTTGTGCAGAAAGTCTGTTTATATATAGCTCTGCACAAGCAGTTCCTTTATGTAACAAACAATTAACAAATAATTCTTCTTCAAAAACCCAAATATAAAAAATCATTGTAAACGGAAAAGAAAAAAAAAAAAAACAGAGACTCATGATCCCCACTATAGAATAATGGAACCCATGTGTGTATGGGCATAAATTAAATTAAAGACACATCCAAGAACTTCATCTCCACTTCTTCTGATGCAGGCCAGCATAGTAAATATTTGAATTTGGAAATATTTTACCCCATTTTATCTTGTGTTTTACCGTGCAGTAAATATCTGAGAGGTAAGAAGTTTGTCTTCCCTGTCTTGTCTTGCTCACTCACCATTCCCCATTGGAGCTACTGGTTTGCTTGCTACAACCTCAAAACCTCCCCCTCCTTCATCTTCTTCTGAGGTGGCGACATCTTCATCTTCATCGTCATCTTCAATGTTATTATGATCTAATTTATCTCGTCCATTAATCTCTATAACTGTCTCAGATTGGTTTTCTTGTTGGAGAGGCCATTGCTGTTCAGGCCTTGCCATTAACGGGTCAATCGTGCTTAATACTGGGTTAACACCATGAACAAAGCCAGTTTCATTTGTCTTGGTTTTTTCTTTGTATAGAGCATCAAGTTGATGAAAATACGGACATGTTTTTGAATCTTCAGGTCTTCTTTTGCTGCTCTCCTTCACTTTCTTGAAATACTTGTTTATATTCTCCCATTTCTCTTTACATCTCTTTGCACTTCTATTGTACCCAAGCTTTTGCATTCTTGAGGAGATCTCTTCCCATAATGGCCCTTTAGGTCCATTTTCCTGATACTTAGTATCAAGATTAGTTCTTAGCTTAATAAGAGCTTGAACTTCAACTTTTGGCCATCTTGATGAACTTGTCATAACTATGGCTCTTTCTCCATCATCCTTTCTTGACACATCTGGACTCGTTAGTACTGGTACCGAAGCAACAGCTGATGGTGGCGTTGACTGTGGCGCTGGTGCTGGCACTGGCACTGGCACGGGCACTGGGACCAGTGCCGGTGCCGGTGCCGGTGCTGGTGCTGGCGCCATTGCTGGTGTGAATATAGAAGAATGTGGAATATCTATAGAATGCAATTGCAATGAATTTTGTTGTCCGGATATCTTTTGCAAGAATGCAATAACTGCAGCATCTTTAGCAGCTGCAGTTGTTCGTTCTTGGATTAAAATTTCATGCTCTCTATTGATTCTTGTCATTTCTTGCAATCTCCAAGCTTCTTCGCGTGCAATTCTTTCCTGTTCGAGTCTCTCTATAGTTTCCAAGAACTTGTTTTGCAGAACTACTTGTTTCTTGATAACATCTTTAGTTAGCTTTTCAAAAAAATCCTTCCATTTCCTTTTTCTCTTCCCACCGCTACTTTGTAACTCTTCGTCCGACGCTGTCGAAGATGAAGTAGAACTCGAAAAGAGATGCCAAGTAAGGTTTTGAAAGGAATTTGGTGAAATATTATGAGAATTGGTATTAATTATGGGCTGTGAAGAAGATAATGGCATAGGACTTATCGGTTGATCATCTGTTGGGGTGATATTACTATTATTATTTTGTGACGTAATGATAATATTTGCTGTAGAATTTGTTGTGGATGGAACAGTAACATGAGAAACATTGGGAGGATTATTAGACCATGGCAATGTGGCTGTGGCGGTTGCAGGTTGAGGTTTTGGTGGTGGCGGTGGTGGTGGTGGTGGTGCTGAAACCGATTGAGGTTGATGAAGATGATGATGATGACTTTCGAGTGCTTGTAATTGATCGAAAAATCGATAAGTCTTTCCGTCGGATTTTCCAGTTCTACCTTCTTTGGTTCTTTTGTGGTATTTGTACACATTCTCAAACTTTTCTTTGCATTTCTTGGCGCTTCGATTATAACCAAGATCGGCTAGTTTTCTGGAATTACAAATTTTGTAAAAGATCAATATATAATTAACTAATTACAAGATCTGAAACTGCTTCCAGACATGAAAGAAAATAAAAGAAAAAGGAATTGTCAGTGAAAGATTGGAGAATAAAAGACCTAACAAACTGTATGATTACATGGAACAACTTTCCTTGAATTAGGCAAAAATGGAAAAAGAAATATTAGAAAGTTAAAACAATAACTTTATAATTGTATTCAAAGAATTATCAGTAGAGAGTATTACTGTACTAATTAGAATTAGACAGCTACAGAAAAAAAAAAATTTTTAAAAACACCTAGATTTTAATTAAAGAAAGCTAAACTAATCAAATCTAATGATACTAAAATCAAAATTAAAAACCCACTTAGGAAATTAATTAAGAAAGAAAAATCTGAACTTCAAGAAAACTATAAAAGCTTTGAATGATCCAAAAAGAAAAGAGAATTAAGTACAGAAAATTCAGAGAAAAGGTGATGAGTACACAGATCTCCATGCAAGAAGTTAGAAAATAAAGCTTAAAGCTCAACTTTTATTAAAGAAAATCAATCACCTGGAAACCTCTTCCCATAATGGACCTTTAAGACTTGAGTCTCGAAACACAGAATCCATATCCGACCTTATCTTCAACAAGGCTAAAGTTTCTTGTCTTGGCCACCGGTTTGCACCATAACTCAACCGCTCACTTTCTTCAACCTTAAGACTCTTATCATCTTGATCACTTGAATTGGAACCGGTTCCGGTTCCAGTCGCAGCTCCGGCTCCCCCAACTTCACCGGTATCGCCGGCTGAGGTTGCCAGTACATTAGTAGAATCACCTTGCATCGGATTTGACGACTCAAGAGTTGCTATCTATAAGACTATGAGCAAGAAAAATAAATGTAAAGAAAAATCTATAAGCAAAGCAGGTGAATTCTATTAAGGGTTTTTATGAAGATATGTGTTGGTAATTTTTTTTTTTTTTTTTAATTTGTTGAGATCTGCCTGTCAATATCAAAAGTAAAGTATATTTAAAAATAAAAAAAGAAAGAATGGAAACAGAGGTTTTTTGCTTATTTTTTTTATTATTATATTGAAGTAATTAAGGTGTAGGAATCTTCAGTTATCTTTTATATTTCATTATTTTGTTGGTTAAAAAGGAGAGATGCAAAGTTCACTTAGCTCCTCCTTTTATACATGTTTTCATATATAAAATATTAATACAAAATAAATGGAGAAGGAAAAAGCAATAATATAATTATATGTAAGTAGCAAATGGAGTATGCTCTAGTTAGTTCTCTCGTTTACGTAGAAAGTGAGAATTTTTGAGTTTAAAACCTCTCGGATTACCTCGTGATATGTAAAATTTCATATTTAATATGTTAAAAATAAAATTTTAAAACGTTAACAGGGGACAACAATTTCTGTTAGTTTTTTTGTGTCTATCGTTGATAATGATTTAATATATATGCAGTTTATAAAATAAATATGCTGTTTGTAAAATAGAATTTTATTAATAATTATAATAAATTTTATATTCATGTGGAAAATAAAAACTCTCGAATTTGAGTTCTTTCAATTACAAAAGTTTTCACTGATTTAATGTGTTAATGGAGGGCTATCTCCTCATGTATAAAATTTCATATTTAATATATTAAAAATAAAATTTTGAAACTTTAATAAGGAACAAAAACTTCTGTCAGTTTCTCGTGTCTATTTAATATGTATTTGTTTTGTAAAGTAAACATGCAGTTTATAAAGTAAAGTTTTATTAAGAATTATAATAAATTTAAGGAACAAAAAACTTTCTGTCAGTTTCTCGTGTCTTATTTAATATGTAGTTTGTTTTAGAAATTAAACATGCAAGTTTATAAAGTAAAGTTTTATAAGAATTATATAAATTTTATATTCAGTGAAAGTAAGAACTTTCGAATTGAGTTCTTTTGATTACAAAGTTTTTCACTGATTTAATATGTCAATGGAGGATTATTCTCCTCATGTGTAAAATTCATATTTAATATACTAAAAATAAAATTGTTAATATACTAAAAATAAAATTTTAAAATTTTAATGAGGAACAACAACTTATATCAGTTTCTCGCATCTATCGTTTATAATGATTTAATACATACACGGTTTATAAAGTAAATACATGGTTTGTAAAATAAAGTTTTATTAAGAATTATAATAAATTTCATATTTACGTAGGAAGTAAGAACTCTCGAATTTGAATTCTTTTGATTATAAGAGTTTTTATTGATTTAATGTGTCAATGGAAGATTGTCTCCTTCTGTGTAAAATTTCATATTTAATACACTAAAAATAAAATTTTAAAACTTTAATAAGGGACGACAACTTTTGTCAATTTCTCTTGTCTGTCGTTTATAATTATTTGATACATAGATGGTTTATAAAGTAAATACAAAGTTTGTAAAAAAAATTTATTAAGAATTATAATAAATTTCATATTTATATGAGAAGTAAGAACTCTCGAATTTAAACCCTTTCGATTATAAGAATTTTCACCGATTTAATATATCAATAGAAGCTATCTCTTCGTATGTAAACTTTCATATTTAATATACTGAAAATAAAATTTTAAAACTTTAATAAAGGACAACTGTTTCTGTCAGTTTCTCGTGTATATTATTTATAATGATTTAATACATATAAAATAAATACACTATTCGTAAAATAAGTTTTATTAAGAATTGAAATAAATGTCATGGATAGAAAATGAAAGTTTTGATATTCTTAAACCCATAATTTAGTAATTAATTATATAAGAATATTTTTTTAATTTTTAATAAATAATAATTGTATAAATGATAAGTTTGGGTTGGAGAAGCAACGGTCAATATATAAAATATAATATAAATAATAATAAATTTAAATGAGCAGACTAAGGAGCGCAAAGGCAACAGCTGCAGATAGCGACGATGGAGATAATAAAAGTTGGGTCATGTAGGTCAGCTTTGCTTTTTGGTGCGTTTTGGATTTCAGTGGCCAATGGCTAGATAGAATTTGAAATTTTTAAATGTTATTTATTTGGAAATGACTAAACTGCCCCTTAAAGTGGCAGATCTGAGAGGGTGAATTGACCCTCGCATCATTTTAAAATTCTTTATATATTCTCTCTGTTTTTGTAAGCTTATTACAGATTAATTAAATCATTTAAATTATAATACAGCATTTATTAATTACTTTAGCTTCAATAAGATTTTTAAATTATTATTAAATTAAAAAAGAAAAAAAATTTAAGATGAGTTAGACATTCAAAAAAAAAAGTTAATATTGAGTTTAATAGTAATAGAGTAAAAATGAAAAAAAAAATTAATTAATATTTTTTAATCTTTTCATATTGACAGATAATTTTAAAAAAAATAATTTTAAAAATAATAAATAAAATAAAACAAATATTATATATATATATATATATAAATATTATATATATATATATATATATAATTGACCAATTAATTTAATTTATGACTTAAACCTTTATATATTAACCTTAACAAATAACATAATTCTCATCAAAGTCCTAATATGATTATATGAAAATATTTCTTTTCTTTTTGCTTTTTGACCATTTAGTATTTGAACCTCAATTATGTGATTAAAATGGATTCGTGTGGAGCAATTTATATTTCGGTATCGAACTCGAAATATTTAATTAAGGGAGAAGATTTTTAATTATATGTTAAAGCTATAGCTATGTTTTAGGTGTGTATTATTAATTTATTGGAGAGGGTAAATAATGAACTAATATATTTTAATGTGAATTAAAAATTAGTATTTTGGTACCTTAGTTTTTTTTACTAGAATACCCCTCGTTAAGTCATTATTAAAATACAGAAAGAAGAAAAACGTAATAACACCTAGATTTCAAATTCAACCCAGAGGAGGCAAAACCGTGGAAATCATGGAGCCACGTGGACAGAATGGACCAATTTTTGATGTCGACCATTACAGTTTTGACAAGCTTTGCATTGAAACTTATCTTTACAAATAATGCTTGTAATCTTATCTGTAATAATATATATATATAATATTTTTTTAATTCATTCTTTTTATTTGTATGGATAGAAAAATAATTCTTTATGATAAAAAATATCAAAATTTAATTCTTGACTTACTGTATTATTGGATAGGCATTCAACTCATTATTAATTGAAATAGTGTTGTATTTGTCCTTTAAATTTGGTGATGTGCAATTTATTTAAAATTGAATTTTTCAATCAATTTAGTACGAATTTTAATAAGAAAATAAATTTGAACCCTTTTTTGATAGATTAATGCAGCTGAGGAACGACAATAAAAAAATTAGTGACCTGATTTTTTTAGCTCAAATACATTTATCCATTTTCATCGATATATATTGAATTGGTCTTTTAAAGTTTTCATTAAATCCGATTCAAAAGCTCAATTTTAAGTAAATTATATATTACAATCAAGTTCAGGATGCAAACCGAGTATTATTCTTTATTAATTCATAAATTCGATGAACTTAATGAGATTTTTTTTTCTTTTTTTGAAATTAAATTGATAATTTTGAATCAAAGTAGCAGTTAGGGCAAGCCATATTTATGAGTGCATATAAGTAAGTGACAGATTTATTAGTTAGGTTGTGACCCACCATAATAAATGGTATTAAAAATTGAATGGAAATGAAATGATCAGACTGTAATAAATTATTCACTGTCGATAATTCTATGGCATTGAAAATTTGATGTTATTATATATAATTCTTATAGATTTTGACAATAAAATAGGGGGACCATATAGGATATATGGTAGTTGCCAAGTTGTTAGATGTTAATTCTAATTATCTGTCAAGAACATGTCTTTGTAGCCATACAATTCTTCTATTTGAATGCATCAATTCCTTTGCTTTTCTATTTTTTTTTTATTATATTTAATTTGCTATGTAGAAACCTTTCGTACTCCAATTTAATTATTATAGGTTCAGTAGAAATTAATTGCGCTGAGTTACATTAATATGGCATTATATGTTTACTTTTATAAACTTCAACAACCAAATATTAATACATAAATAAATAAATAAAGAGATTCAATTTTTATTTATATATTTTAATTAGTATTACAAAAAATATGGTCAATTTTAATGAGGAACAAGGTATGTGAAGTCCAAGACAAGGAAGTAATTAAACGCTAATGTGTGTTTTGTTAGTAATCATTTTATAAAATTATAAATTTGTAATTTTATTTAGTTTTTAAAATATATAATAATTTATTAAACGCAATAGATATTTATCAAATATATATATATATATACTTTAAAAATAGATAAATGAATAAATATTTATTTTATATCTATCCAATTTTTACATTTGGGTTGATCGTGATATTTAAGTAAAGTTCTCTCTTTCCATTCAAACAAAAAAAAAAAAAAAAAAAAAACAAAAAAAAAAAAAAAAAAAGAAGAGTAAAGCACTCTCAAGTATGAGCGGCTTTAAATTTCATCTTGATTTTTATAATAAAATTAATTTAAAAAAAAAAAAAAAAAAAAAAAGAAGAGTAAAGCACTCTCAATATGAGCGGCTTAAATTTCATCTTGATTTTTATAAGTAAAATTAATTTAAAAATACAGTTCATCCAGATCTAATTTGTAATAATAGAAACCCTAATTGCTAAGGGTTAGAGGAGTTAGGATAGTAATGTTAACACGTATCAACACATGGATTATTCAATTATTGAAGTAATCAAGTTTTGAAGAAACAAAATGGATTGGCAACACACAATAATGCAAGGTATGGTAGGGCCCAATTTAATCAACAAGACAATATTAATTATTTGCATAATTATCATATAGATTAATTATAAAATAAATTTACAGATGGGCAATTAATTTTTTGATGTCATACGAATTAATTATATATATGATGGTGTAAGTGTGTATTAATTGCCACCATGATGGTAGTCTTTCTTGTGCAGAAATTATTATGTACTATATAAGAAAAAATCAAAGACAATACATGGTTGGTGCTTACATGGTTAAAAATACTAGATCATGCATCAAATTTTAATAATTTATACACCAAATAATGTATGATATGTGTATAATTGTTGAGTCAATGTATGGTGATTTTAATAATAGGCAAGTGCCTAATTAATGGGATGATATCAAATATTAGGCTGTGTCGATCAAAAAATAAAACCGCAATTAACCTAATAATTTGATGATTGTGTACTTGTCATATAGTGAAAAAGATCAACTATAACAATTCACTATTGTTTGCCTTATATGTATGTTCTCTATAGCAAGCTAATATGTTCTATATAGCAAAATTAGCTGTTTTAGCAGCTGTTAACTGTTTTATTAATTTTTAGTAATAGTTATTAGCTTTTAGCGAATAGTTATTTATATGGAGATTTAAATTAGAAATTTTTGATAAAAATGGCTATTAGTTGAATTTAAAGTGAAAAAAAATCAATGGATATAATTGTTAGAAAAAATTAATTAAAAGCTAAACATTAAACGCTAAAAGCAAAACGTTATAGCGTTTTTAACATTACATAAAAAGCTTTATCAACTTCTACAAGCTATGAAATGAATAGAGATAAAGTTTTAACTTACCCAAAATACTAAAATCTAGTTCAAAAATTGTTGTCAAACATGGAGATTAGAGTTCAAATTTCCTAAAGTAGATTTATTACAAGAAATCAAACATTTTTCCCATTTATTTCACATATGTTTTTACATATAAGTCGAGAGTGGTATTTAAGTAAAACTGTCAAAGCATAGGATGCAATTCACTCTCGATATTATATTATATTATATTATATTATATTAAGATAGTAATGAAATAGTGATAAAAGGAGGAGGAGGAGGTGGTGGAGGGGCAAGGCAAGTAAACATCAAAGGTGGAAATGGGAAGTAGTATGTGGGTGATATAATAATAGAGAAGAGGAAGGAGAATACGTAATTGATGATGAGATGACAAGATATATAGGTACCTCTTTCCCTACTCACATTTTCTATATGATATATATTTTTTGTTTGCCTTTGCTTTAGCTTCTCTTATAAACAAAATTAAACATTATTTTTACAGGTTTGTTTTATGTCGACTCTCTTTGTTGTTGCTTTGCTGGCACTAAAAACTACTTCTCTACACCAAAGAGAGAGAAAGAGATGCCTTTGCTTTGCCCACTAACTATGTCAATTAAAGGGTAGTCCTTCTTTTTTCCTTTTTTTCTTTTTTTGTTCCTATAATTATTGAACCTGTTTGGTCTAACCATTATAATTAGCTGTTGATGGTTAATAGTGAGCACAGTTGCTTTTGCAATTAAAAAACTAATCGCTAATGGTTAAAAATATAAATATTTTCAATATTTCAATCATAATTTCTAATCATTATCTAGGGGTAAATACTGTTTGGTTCAGTACATTTGAAAAATTTTCAAACCAAACATAAATTGTGCTTGGAAAATTTTTTTTCCAATTAAATCAAACGGTTTATTAAATTGGATCAAAGCATTTAAATAATAAAATATATGAAATTGACGGTTTAATGTGATTTGATTTTAACGGTTTGAATCGTTTAATGCACACCCTATTACAAACCATAGTTGATAATTTTAGCTGCCCATCGGATACTCATCGAAATCCGACCCGAACGGAACAAGTAAACTTAATTTATTTAAATATGGAGTAAATATAAACTTTAAAAATAAAACGCGATACACTCGCAACCTGTTCATTTTTTTAAAACTAAACCTGTATTTTTATTTTTATTTAATTTTTACTGTATTTAATATGTTTTTTTTCTCCAATGGTCAAATACCCTTATCATAAGAAAAGCTTATTTTTGAGTGATTTGACATATGAAACAGGTCATATGCCGTGTGTAGGTAAGTGATTGAACTTATTAAACATCTCCTAACTAATTATTGAGAGTCCAACACCAAAAATTAATTCTCATCCAAACAGAGCCTAATTCTCTCTCTGTCCCCTTTCTATACATGACTAATCACTGCATTTTGTTTCCAAAAAAAGAAAGATTATTACAGTCCCCTAGTAGTCTATGTTATACACTTTGTAGGTATAAAATTAAAACAAATGAAAAAGTATGAGTTTGTAATATGCATCAATCAAAGAATCATTATATATGTTTAATTATAAATGGTATAAAAAAAAGCCACTATGTGCTTTTAAATATTTTATTTAATATTTCTATAAATGGAATTTTATAATATACATGTCTATACATTAAGTTGGAGATAAATTTTTAAATATCTAAAATCATTGCTAATGCCAATTATTTAGATAAAAGGAATTATTAAATAAATACATCCACAATAATGATATTCGACTCTATATAACTTTTATTTATTAAAATCTTTTATTTTTCACAAAGTAGTGTACGACTCTATGGATCCAAGCCGTTTCATAAAATACACTATATAGTATGAATTTAAAAACAAAAAGAATTCTCTCAATTTCATAAGAGTTTTTATCGACTTTGTTGAGTTAATAGGAGAATTATTTTTATTGTGTAGCTCATGTTATTTTGGCCGATTGAAGCTCCTAATGAATTAAAAAAAAATCTTTTCATATTATTAAAAGAAATTACTTTCATAAACATGAAAATTGTAAATATATTTTAATTAAAAAATCACAATGTTTCAAATTACAACTACACTAATTAATTGGTAATATATAAATTATAATATATTATAATATATTTCGTTATAGTTCATTGAACGGAGATTGATTGATCGGTACATAATATAATTTGTATAAATTTATTCATTTTTCTAGCTTCAAAACCCTATTATATTGCACTTGCTTCGTTTGGAAAAAGAAATTGAAAACAATCTAAATTTTCTAGAAATGAATGCATTTCAATTAATTAAGAAAATTAGGTGATAAAAATCCGTTGATTTTAAATAAAAAAAAAGAAAAAGAAAAGAAATTACATGGAGACAAAAGCTATTTATAAGTTGCTTAACATGGAGCGCATGTGAACAATCACTTCCGTCATATGTCATCCATGTGGGTTTACCCCTTCATATTATCTGGCTCTCTCAAAGCACTCTTCAAGTGGATTCTATAATCTATATGTTGCGAATAAAAAACATAAACAATTATTTAGTCCCTAAATTTAGTTATAATTACAAATCCATCCCTCTTGTTTAATAAATATATTAATTAGTCCTCAAAACTTAATATTATTAAACTATAATCCTTTTGTTCTAAATGGTAACAGTCGGTTGGTATATTACGTCATATATTCTTAAAGAGCCCACAAACCCATCAAATGACTGCTACTGTGAAGAGCATCATCAAATGTGATAACCATCCATTCATTATTTGGCTTTTTCCTTTTTCTTTTTTTTTTTCTTGCACCCAATTCTTTGATTATGACCTATTATACGTCAATATACACACCAATTAAGTTCCCATTTCTTTTTTTTTTTCCTTATATTATAATTTCAAGACAAGACAATGCGATGAATCACAAAATTTTCACTTTATGAAACTTAATATCATCAGCGTAATGGTAAAAAATTCATCTGTGTTTGTCATATATTGCAAATTCTTGAAAAAGCAATTGTCATATATTGCAAATTCTTGAAAAAGCAATTCAGGTTTAACGGACTTGTTGCTGCTATAAAAATTTATATCTTTTCTCAAAACTCTAAGAAAAAAATATAATATTATATTTTCTTAATCTTAATTTTATTATTAAAAAATATGAATTTTTTTATTTTTCAAAAAAAACTCTATTTGTAACTACTGATGGTAAAGTTCTATGTCTATATATAAGTATTTGTAATTCTTGATATTATTATAATGATTTTTTTTTTTTTTTTTGCTTTAAAAAAAAAGAGTAGTCAATTGAAGCAGCTTCAAATTCAATGTTATGTTTTGAAATCCAAATAAGATTTTGATGGATGAAAAATTATTTATTATTACCTTTATTTTAACTTGAACACTACTAGTAAGTAATAGCATTTTAATTTTTATAAAATAAAAATATATTTGAACAAAGTAGCCCAGTGAAGCAACATACTAATGAGTTGGTCAGCTCATCAACCTCTGCCAAACAAGTGCAGCGCAGGGACATCATTTGGTATCGAGTGCCTGAAAAGGCTGGGCATTGTTTGTAAGGATAAACCACAAAATAGCACTTATAATATACACATCTGTTTTCACTACAGATAATTCCCAAGACTTGCATTGAAAGGAGGGTCTTTACAAATCTATTACCCTGCAAATGCATTTGACAGAAGAGGGTTGTGTTATAACAAAACTTGGCTCTCTGTTTGATCAAATTAGCCATTGTAATACCTTTTTTTTTTTTTTTTTCCATTTTCGACCAACAACGAATACTTCAAAAGAAAAGCAATAGATACATACATGTATATCATAATTGGCAATGGGGTAGCTGTCGGCAGGTTGGACAATACCACTTTCCCTTGAATCTCGTCTCTGGCGTTAGACCAACACACGCATAATGGAACCATTCACCTCCTTCGCACTGTAAATTTGGTACGTTAAAACTAACGCTTTCACGAAATAACTAATTTTAAGGCTACATTTTATTGATAAAGCTGTGTATCCAATTACATTTTGTAGCTAGTATTTATATACATGAGGAGTTTAGCTAAGGAAGGTATATTAAAGGAAATAATTATAATTCTAGGGTCACCATCCCATAATTAAGGAAAGATAATCCCCCGAATCAGGGGAAATGATTATCCAACTTATGGATACACAGTCCATATATTATTCTAACAATTGTCAAAAAGAAGAAACAAAAAGAGACAAAAATAAGGTGCTTACATTTTCATTATCACATGCAATCATATCTCCAAAGGACACCTGAAATGATCATACAATTAGTTTAGCAGATCTACAGGAGCATTACTAATAACTAAAGTTTTACTTGCAAAACAACTCTGCAGAAGAGATGGCAATGAAGTTGAAATGATAGTAAAAGAGGAGTCAGAACCTGATGGCAGACACAGTAGGTAGGTTCATTTGGATCAATGGGTTGATCAACATCAACTGAGACATTAAAATCCTTCTTAATTCCTGGAGGCGGCATGAGCTCAAAATCCCTATCACGTTCTCGATCCCATTCCCTGTCCCTAAGCTCATTCCTTTTTGATTGAGGTGTCCCATAAAAGGACTTGCGTTTTTCGAGTTTAGGAACTAATATAGGTTGTGAAGGAAGAATTGCTGGTTCATCTGCTGGTATTTTCCCCTCTGATATTATTATGAAAGAAAAACATAAAGACCATGACTAAAAAAAGGTTATAACAAATTCAATAAGCTACCTGAAGCACTAAGTTCTAAGAAAAGCAGTCATTTTACATAGAACTGCTAGAGGAAATTGAGATTTCAAAATAGATTTCTTAATATATGGTTCATGCTGAGAAGGTGTTTATAATCACGTATTAGAATGTGTTTTTTTTCTTTTTTTTTTTTTTTTTTTTTTTGGTTCCATCTGCTGGTTATTTCCCCTCTGATATTATTATGAAAAGAAAACATAAAGACCATGACTAAAAAAGGTCTATAACAAATTCCAATAAGCTACCTGAAGCACTAAGTTCTAAGGAAAAGCAGGTCATTTTACATAGAACTGCTAGAGGGAAAATTGAGATTTTTCAAATAGATTTCTAATATATGGTTCATGCTGAGAAGGTGTTTATTAACTCACGTATTTTAGAATGTTGTTTTTTTTTCTTTTTTTTTTTTTTTTTTTTTTTTTTTTTTTTTTTTGGTGATGCAATTTCAATAGGGCAGGATGTACTTTGAGGTGAAAGCGTGAGACTATTCCAGGATTTGCATTTGGGTGACATGATATTAAATTTGAATATCTGTAATTTTGTATTAGTTTTTGTACCATGCTTCAAATCTTCTGCAAAGTTGTTGTACCATGCTTCAAATCTTCTGCAAAGTTGTTTAGATCCTCATCTAATCGTTTGATATGGCTGTCTATCTGCATGAATTAAAAAAGATACGGATTAATATCATAAGCATTTATTAAAGCCCACGGCTAGTTAACTTACAAGAGAAATGATGAAAATGAAATAAAGTAATCAAGAATCTAAAATAACTCTGAGGGGTACTCATACTAGCCCTGCAAGTTCACTAGCCGAGCGAACATGTGTAAAGTTCCTGGCATGACAGTTTCTTTAATTGTAGTTTCTTTAATTACATTTTGATCGCATATTCCGCCCAGACAATTGAAACCTATTACGAAACAATCCACCATATATAGCAAAATGAGCAAATTCTTCACACAATGCTAGCTCTAATGACCACGTAATTTTGAGAAGTTACAACATAATGTTGTATCGTCCACTTGAAGATATTATTCACTATGCATAATTACCTCTCAAACCTAAACTCCACATCTGAAAGCAATTTTTAGTGTCGATAGAAAAATAGTCCAGTATTAGGGATTAGAAACACATGCTTGAATTATACAAAAATGAGAAACATGTCCATTTTTCTTTTTACCAACTACCACGTATCGCAAGAAATTCCAAAATATCGAAGCAATATATATAATATCTAGAAGATATGAAAATAACAACTGGTTGAAGGCCTTAATTTAGAAGAAGCTTACAAGGTCATAAGCTTGTCGTGCTAACAAAACCTTCTCAGTACACAAACTCAATGCATTATCCTGATTTGCCTCGATATCCTTTCTCATTCTCTCAACAACATCATCCTCTTCACTGTTACTATTATTGAAAGCAATACCATTTCCTCTCTTTGAGCTTTGTGATGCCAATCCCAAACAGTATTTTGTTTGCTGCCTGGTCTGATTTAAAATTGCTTCCAAACATACAATACAATGCATATGTAGATTAGACATATGTATGCTTAATAAGATAAGAGAGATAATTATAAAACCAAACAAACATTTATTCATGTCAAATTGCAGATGTTCATGCAGATAACTAGGTGTTAAATTGTATCTATCTACATATAGATGCTCAAATACACAGTGAACAAATCAACAACAGAACCACACATGCATCACATGTTGCTGCACATAAGTATGCTGATACATTCATAATAAAATACAGAAACATTTTAATGAAACTAGAAAAAAGAAAATTCTAGTTTTACAACTTCTATACATGCATTCCTGTAATGCATATGAATAATTAAATATAAATGTAACAATAATTTATGAATAAACATGAAAAGACAAAACTCAAGAATTTCATTACTGCATGGTCATATACTATATGTTACGTATGTATCATAACGATCAGTAAGAACCCCTAAAATAAAAAATTCACAAACTTTAAAGGACCAGAAAATATAATTAGAGAAATATAGATGAATATGGGCTTACAATGCGATCGCTCATCGAGCTCTTTGATAGTATTGAGGAGTCTCTGAAGCTCGGCCGGTAAAGTGCTTGCATCTATTCAAATTCAAACTCAAAATTTAGATATAAAAAATTGCAGTAAATTACGGTCATATAAATTTATGCCAAAAAACCGAAACGAACAGAGGCTTTGACAAATAAACACGAAATTTATGAACTTACACTCCAAGTAATCGTCGACATAGACTCCAGTTCTAGCGATTGCCATTTTTGTTTCCCTTAATAGATAGAGTCACTATTTAGGGAGAATTAAAGAAAAGCTGACTCAATTAATTTTGCTGAAATTTTGGCAAAATCTCTTCTAAAAATCGAACGTAAACCCCCTGTGAGAAACAACAATTATAAGGTAGCTCAACTGCCAGCATCATCAATCACACACAAATGCCCAACCCGAGCCTACAATATCAGTTCCCTTCCTGCATCACCAATATAACTCAAATGTCCATTCAATAGCCTCAATATCAATTTAAATATGCATTTACTTCCCACATATATTACATATAAAAGAAACAGTTAGCTTATTAGTAATAATGGTAATAACTATCCGAACTTATATAGCAAATCCACACAATTCCTGATACGGATTCGCTCTCACTCAACCATGGAGCTCAAGGGAGCATGGGTACCTCAACTTCTAATTAAGATTCGAGGACGAATCTTTTCGAGGAATTGAGGTACCTCAACTTCTAATTAGATTCCGAGGCGAATCTTTCGATGGAATCAAAAGTAGGAATTATTGTATTCGCTACACTCAACCTAAGCTCTAAGGAAAGCGATTGAGAACAACAAAGGAGATCTATTGGATTGCTTTATAGTGGACCATTTACAAGAACGTATCAAAGGATAAATGGGCAGCCATGTCCTTATATGTTTCAAGCCAAGTTTATATAAGAGCTTCATTGATCTTGCTTTCAAACAAGTGTTTGTGTGGAACTTAAACACACTAGAGGCCTTCTTAACATTGTTTAAAAGGGCAATATGGTCGCATACGGTGCTCAGCACGGAGCTCCCTGGCTACTAGGCCTAACTTTCGCCGCTAAACAGTTTAGTACATATTTGTGTTAGTTTTTGATTTGTAATGTTGTTTATATGGATTGGGCCACCCTTTTATTTTTCCTTAGTTGGTTTGGATTAATATTCTTTTATCCCTTAGTTTGGATAATTATCCTTATCCTTTAGCTGGTTTGGATCTAATTGATTCTTATCCTTAGCTGGTTTGATTAGTTATTCCTTATTACTTAGTGGGTTTGGATTATTATTCTTATCCTTAGTTTGGTTTGATAGTTATTCCTTATCCTTAGTTGGATTGGAAATTAATTATTCCTCTATCCTTAGTTTGATATAGCATTAGTTAATCCTTATCCTTGTTTTGGTTTGGCATTAGTTATTCTAAATCCTTTAAAGATCAGGTTTTTTAGATTCTAGTATAAATATTTTTGTATATGTTGCCTTAACAATCATTCAATGAATTAGAAATCTTAGATATTTGTCTCAATACTCTTATGAGCGTGTATTCTTAGATTAGTAGTGATTGTCAGATTACTTTCCTCTCAATTGCATCAAGAATCAAGGTAAACTTATCAATTTAACTTGTGCGTTTATCTTAATTCTTCTTTTACTCTATATGGTGTTCTTGCTTTCCTTAAGCTTTGGGTGCCATAGATGGATAACGTTTAGTTTGATCTTTGAACTATTCCAATCTTGTCATAGAGTTTTGAATTAATTTTCATTAGGGTTCCGGTCAGTTTTGGTATCAGAGCGGAAAGATTATAGGTAAATTACTATACTTTATCTAGATTCTAGGATTTTTTGAGCTTTTCTTATTTTCTTTGAATTCTTTGAGTTATGTCTTATTGTTTTTTGAATCTGGAAATTTTGCACTTGTGTTTTCTTGATTCGATTTCTTTGTTTCTAAAAAAAAAAAAAAAAAAAAAAAAAATTATTCCGTCCCCCATTGAAGTTGTCTTTGTTATCTGTGTTGTGTTATTTTTTATCGTTTCTATAGAGATTTTTGACCATTATCTTGATGGAATTTAGGACTTATCCTCACTTTGCTCATTCTTGCTACTCAGCTTATTTCTTAATCTAGATTGAGTTATTACTTTTTATGAGATAATAGTTAGCATAATTATTTTGTCCTTATCTTTTGGAGATTTAAAACTTATCCACTTCTAATACTTTTGATAAAATCTAATCTTATCTACTTCGGGAATAAGGCAGCACAAGGATAAGGCAGCACAATTATTTGTCCATATGTTTTGGAGCTTAAACTTATCCACTTAAATCCTTGTTAAAACCTAATCTTATCTAGATTGAATTATATTGTTTGGGATAAGGCAAAATATTTTGACTTAATTTGAGATCTTATCTTGGGAAACACATGATCCTTGTTTGGACAACCTAGTTATTCTTGCTAGAATAGCCTATCTTACACTTATTTGCACAAGCATACACCTTTAGAGTTAAAATTAATCAAATTGTGGCATCAAGTGAATTTGGTTATCAATATAATTTTTGTATCAAATCTGAATTTTTGGTTTTATTGTTTGTTTGCTTTGATTGGGTAGAATTAAATTACGTCTATATGCCACATATGGTAAATTAGAATTAAACCAAATATGGAGTAGAATTTAATTCTACCTAATCAAAGCAAGCAAACAATAAAACCAAAAATTTAGATTTGACACAGAAATTATAGTGATAACCGAATTCACTTGATGCCACATTTAATTAATTTTAACTCTAAAGGTGCATGCTTGTGCAAATAAGTGTAAGATAGGCTATTCTAGCAAGAATAACTAGGTTGTCCAAACAAGAATCATGTGTTTCGCAAGATAAGATCCCAAATTAAGTCAAAATATTTTGCCTTATCCCAAACAATATCAAATTAAGTCAAAATATTTTGCCTTATCCCAAACAATATAATTCAATCTAGATAAGATTAGGTTTTAACAAGGATTTAAGTGGATAAGTTTAAGCTCCAAAAGATATGGACAAATAATTGTGCTGCCTTATCCCACAAAGTAGATAAGATTAGATTTTATCAAAAAATTAAAGTGGATAAGTTTAATCTCCAAAAGATAAGGATAAATAATTATGCTACCTTATTTTATCAAAAGATTAAAGTGGATAGGTTTAATCTCCAAAAGATAAGGACAAATAAGTATGCTACCTTATCCCACAATGTAGATAAGATTAGATTTTATCAAAAAATTAAAGTGGATAAGTTTAATCTCCAAAAGATAAAGACAAATAATTATGCTACTTTATCCCACAAAATACAACCCAATCTAGATAAAGATAAGCTCTATCAAGAAGCAAAGTGGATAAGTTTAAATTCCACAAGATAAGGTCAAAATCTCTATAGATAAGGATCAAAAAAACCACACAATACAAAGACAACTTCAATGGTGGACGAATTTCGTTTTTTTTTTTTTGTAGAAACAAGAACAAATCAAGAAAACACAATGATGCAAAATTCAGAATTAAAACTAATCAAAAAAATAAGACAAACACAAGAATTCAAGAAAATAAGAAAACTCAAAAATCCTATAACTAAGATAAATAAGAATTTACCTTAATCTTTGGCTCTGATACCAAACTGACGCGGAACCCTATGAAAATTAATTCCAAGAACTATATGACAAGATTGGAATAGTTCAAAGATCAAACTAAACTCTCTCTCTATGGCACCCAAAGCTTAAGGAAGCAAGAACACCAATAATAGAGTAAAGAAGAATAAGATAAACGCCACAATAAATTAATAAGTTTACCTTGATTCTTGATGCAATTAGAGTAATGCAATCTCACAATCACTCTAATCAAAGAACACGCCAAAAGCATGAACAAATCTGAAGATTTACTAATTCATTGAATGATTTGTTTAACAACATAAAAGGATTTATAATCAAAGAACACGCCAAAAGCATGAACAAATCTGAAGATTTACTAATTCATTGAATGATTTGTTTAACAACATAACAAAACTATTTATACTAAAATCTAAAAACCTGATTCTTAAAGGATTTAGAATAACTAATCCAAACCAACTAATGATAAGGATAAGGATTAATTAATCTAAACCAACTAAGGATAAAGACTAATTAATCCAATCCAACTAAGGATAAGGAATAACTAATCCAAATAAACTAAGGATAAGAAATAATTAATACAAACCAACTAAGGATAAGAAATAATTAATCAAAACCAACTAAGGATAAAGAATAATTAATCCAAACCAACTAAGGATAAGGAATAACTAATCCAAACTAATTAAGGATAAAGAATAATTAATCCAAACCAACTAAGGATAAAAATAAAAGGGTGGCCCAATTTATTTGTGGCCCAACCCATTAACAACATGACAACTCAAAACTAACACAAATGGGCTACCTTATTATGCCAAAGTTAGGCTCTGGTACGGCCTGGGCGTGTTACACCATCGACATGTGCCTTCAACAATGTAAGAAGACTAGGTGTGCCTTCAAGTTCCACACAACACTTGTTGAAAGCAAGATCATGAAGTTCTTATGTAATTTGGTCTTGAACATACAAGGACATGACTGCTCCATATCTCTTTGTAGACTTCTTGTAATTGGTCCACTAGGAAGCACCAACAGATCTCCTTTGTTGTTCTCCATGCTTCCTTGAGCTCTATGGTTAAGTGGTAGATCTCCTTTGTTGTTCTCCATGCTTCCTTGAGCTCTATGGTTAAGTGGTAGCGAATCCGTATCATTCCTCCTTTCCTCGAAAAGATTCTTCCTCGAATCTTAATTAGAAGTTGAGGTACCCATGCTCCGTTGAGCTCCATGGTTGAGTGAGAGCGAATCCGTATCAATTCCACTCGAATTCATATAATTTTCAATAATTATAATTTAATAAACTCGTAATTTGTTTCATTAATTCACTATTTAATAACCAACTTAGTTATAATAATTCTCCTTTGAGTCACAATCAGCTCAAAATGCCAATCATTGCATTTCTTTTTTCCATCGAACTAAAGTCAATAAATTAGAACTTACTAACTAATTTTCCCATTAAATGGCTAGAACTTTCCCCTTATGCTAATTTTCACACCACTAACTACTTTAGGTACTATTAATGATAATTATTGAGTTAACTAGCTAATAATACCTTTCTAGGACTATTTTAACTCTTGTTTTGTCATTTCTAGATTTTTCGGCTTCCAAACCTATTTGCCTAATCGCGTCCATTAATATTTCAGGTATCAAACAATGTCGGATTCAGGAACCGATTATATAACCATAAGCTTACACATCAAATGGTTACCGGAGCCCGCCAGCCAGCAGCGGAGCGCCCCCAACTGGTGGCCGGAAAATCCAAATCTAACCATTTCACACAACCCATACATCTAAACGCTCCAAATTCAATGAGATACTCAATCTAACATCAATTCGTGGAAATTTTAACCAATTTAAGCAAACCCCCAACTTTCCCCAAATTCAAAACCTTGAGCCACAAGCTTGTCACAACTCAAAGAATCTTAAAAATTGATAAAGGAAAATCATTCTAGAGTGACAATAGAGGGATTCCGAACTCACCTCCACCGTTAATGCTCGCCGGAATCGTTTGGGCTCGCCGGAGAAGATAGCTACGAACTGTAAGAGTTCCAGCCTTCGGTTTTCCACTTGGTTTATTCTTTGGTTCAGGTAGCGGTTTGATTTCCTTTCTTTATTTTTATTTATAGAACTCTAATTATTACAATCAAAAATAATATTTTTAAATTTCCAATTTTAAATTTAATTGAAAAACTTTTGAAAATTAAAAATAGGGTTGTTTCATATCTCCCTTTACGGCTTCTAAATTTTACTTATTTTTCACATATTTTAAGGCTTAATTCATATTTTATTAATTTTCTATTCTTACTAATATATGTATTTTGATAAAAATAAAATTATGTCTTTTTATAAATTTATATCATGATATTGTTAGAGGATATTTAAATATTATTCAAATAATCACTATTATTAAATTTCATTTTGAAAATTTTTATGTTCATGTTGAAATTAAAGATAAAAATTTTAGGTTAAATAATGGCCTTTTCACACAAAGTAATTGATATCTATCTATATCTATATCTATCTATGTAAATATATAATTTTTAAGACCTAAATGCTTATATGGTAATATGTTAGAATATGAAAATGATGACATGACATTTTATTTTTTCATTATAATAAATATCTTTTATATTTAAATAAAAATTAAATGTTCTTTATTAAATAATGGAATTACAATTAAACTAAAAAGATTTCATTATCATTAATATATAATAAATATAAAATTTTAACAATTACAACTAAAAAATTCATTATCATTAATATATAATAAATATAAAATTTTTAATTAAATAATTTTTTTTTATAAAAAATAATTGGGTTTATAATAAGTCGTAATTAATAAAAATTAATTTAATAATATAATTAGATTATACAAATGGAATTTAAATATTTAATTTTCAAATTTACTAAATAATATAATTAGATTAACAAATGGAATTAAAATATTAATTTCAATTTACTAAAATTTATTTTATTAACATTAAATATTCTTATATTTCATTTAGTTTAAATATATCAGAATTTCACAGAAAAAAATAAATAATTAATTAAATATATAAATTGTATAACAATAATGTATTTACAATAATTAATTGTACTAATTAATATTTCAGTTCAACATTTGAAAATTTAAAAAAGAATCTATAATTTTGTCTTTCATCATTTAATCAAAAGCACATAAGCAAATTATTTTAAAGCAACACAAACATAAATTAAAATAATGTTTTTCAAAATTACATGAAATAAATTAAATAATTAATTGCGCGAGTCCAGGACTAGTTTATGTATTTTTCCGTACCTATTTTTCTAATTTATATTTTTTTAGAGATTATTTTAGTTGTCAATTATATATATAGGTAAATTATCTAAAATATTGAAAAAAGAAAAAATATATTATAAATAAAAAAAAATAATCTATTAAAATGAAATACAATTTTATATTACTATTATTGTTAACAATTATTATATAAATCTGAATTTATTTCAAATTTTATTATAAATAATTGAATCTGATAACATGGATACATTTATCTTACAAGTTATTGAAATTTTTAAGCTTTTATTTGGCTTAAATTTTTTTCTTTCGAACTAATAAGCATTTATACATAGTGTATGGAGTATAAAATCTTTTGTTGTGCAAAGCAATATTGAAAATAATGCAATTAAAGTCGATGAAATAGAAAGAAAGCCAAATTTTATAACTTCCTATAATTTGAATACGTACCTCGCAATAATGCAATAATTGAAATTTTAAAGATTAAAAAATTACAAAATAGACAAATAGTAATTGACCATATGTCTCATTGATGGACTATATTTAATATCTAGGATATAATTGTAATTTAACAAATGATCAAACTATAAATTACCAGAGACACCAATAAAATTATCGAGCATTAAAAACTTAAATAATTTAGTAACGCTTGAGCTAATCTGTTCAGTAGTTAATTTTTGTATCTCTCGCTCGAACATTAATCTGCACAATAGCTCTATTCCTATCTATAAAAGCTTCTCTACTTTCTCGGTATAAACAACTTGAGATCTATCTATTCAAACATTAACTTAGTGAGTTTTTTGTTATCATTCTCCAATTATTCTTTGTTTTATTTCTGTAACTATCATAAGAAAAAAACAGATTCTTCTTACTCAGCTTTATCTTGTGAAGTTCTCATCAATCAACTTTATCTTACTTAGATACATATATCATTGATGCGATAGCCAATTGTGAGTTTTAAAATGTGATTGAAATTAATGATCTTGCTCATAGAATGATAAATATAAAGAAAGCATATATTATATGTGTTAGTTTACAAGTTTATAACTTTGGCTCTAACCTTAGGTTATACATATTGAAAGGGTTTTTTTTTTTTTTTTTTTTATTGAAAGGGTTTTTTTTTTTTTTTTTTTTGTTCTAATTTAAAAATTGTGAAAATGAAAGGGTTTTTTTTTTTTTTTTGTTTCTATAAAAATTGTGAAAAATTGATTATCTACCAATTGGGGTCAATGAATAGTTAATTTTTTAATCACATATTTCGATAAACATAATTTTTATAAGATTGATGTTAAAATTGTTATGCAACATTATCAAGATATGAAAATTTATAAAGGACATGATTCTTATTTATATTAAATAAGCTAACAAAACGGAGAGATTACCTTAGCTCCAGGTAAGTTTAAGTCATCACTTCAACTAGTTCGTAAAAGAGCTAAGATTGAATACATATCTTTCTTTCTCCTCAAGTTCACGAACAAGACTAGAGTAAGCAGAAATAAGTCTCGTTTGGCGCGTGCCAGGTGACCGATATACCTAGTTGTCGTTTTTCTTTTTTTCTCAAACTTTCATCTTCCTTTATTTCGGGGTTTGCTCCTAGCACCATAAAGAGGAGTTTGTACTTGCTAAAATAAGCAAGAAGAAGGAAATTTGGGAAGAAAGGATCAGGACACTATTGAACTGTTACGAGAAATATGTTCATATAGTAAGCAAGCAAAAAATCCATACCGTATTGCTAAGCCTTGTCTAGTAATGTCATAGCTCCAGGGTAAGCTATATGGCTCATGCCAAAACCTACTCCTAACAAGTTGCTCGATCGAAATAGAACATTCTCTATTTGCCCGCTAATAGCAGAGAGGATTTGATTCCCGTTATACGCGATGTGGCGAAAAAAACTAATTCAATGAATTTCAACTTTACTGTATTAAGATTTAAAACTTGTCGTCTAGACCAACGACTTTCCTTTTGTAGATGCCTAAGTGACTTCTTAACCTTAATGCACTTTTTTTTTTCTTACTATATCATATGCCTTGGTCCGGCTTTCGACATAAAAAAAAGCCTATCTAACTTGTAGGGTTTGATGGCCCAAAATTTACTTGGTTTCACCAAAAGGCCTCCTCTCTAAAAGCCCGGCTCATAAGGCGTCCCTTTTATAGCGGGGTTCTAGATCTGGCCTTTATAAGCTTTATCTTGCCTTAATTTGCTTTAGATATTTGATATTAACTAACCACTCATTGAATTTTTTTTATTTAATCGGTTTATTCTTAATAAAAAATATCAAAAAGTTTGTCCCTGTAATTTAAAATTTTCACTTCACTCTTATTGAACGTAGTATATAGTCTTGCTCACAAAGATAATTGTATTTTTTTATATATATATTTTGTCTTTCATACTTGAACTAGAGGTTGATACCCAATACCATTTCTGTTCTGCTATATACAACTGTATTTCAAGTTTACCTTTTTTTTTTTTTTTTTTTTTCCTTTTTTTTTTTTTTTTTTTCTTTTCCTCACTTCGTTTGTCATTTTAGAATATCAAAGAAGTATTGATTATCTATTTTCTCATTTAATCTTATTTTCAATACTCTACTAAACAAGCATTACTTATTTAGACAATTGATAAAATAATGATCTAATCAATTAAAATTTTTTTTTGATAAAAATTGATTTTACTTAATAATTTTTTAATTATTATATAATTCTCTTATTAAAGACTTATAATGACAATCATGTATGTTCTGATTAATCAATTTACTAGTTGATAGGTGTTATTTTATAGTATTTTTAATATAGTTTTTATTAGGATTTTTAGTATTTTTAATTACTTTAATTAGTTTTTATTTAGTTTTATTTATATTTGAAGTTTCCTTGAATCACATTTCACATGATCCTAAGAAATTTTGTTGCATTTTTATAGAAAACCAACCAAAAATACAGAAAAGAGTGTATCTAAGCAAAAAAACTGGCATGCCCTATGCGTGTTGTCCAACACCCTCGTGCTGTGTTCAAGATAAATTCAATAAAGGTTCAGAGTCTAGCACGCCCAAGTTGTGCCAGAGAGCACGCCCGTGCCACAAGAGATTGTCGATCTCTGAACGTGCTCATCAAAGCATGGCCCATGCTGCAACCACCTTAAGGACTCAGAGCTTAGCACACCCAAGCCATGCTAGATAGTACGTTCGTGTTGAACGCCTGACTTTATATTGAACCGAAAACGACAACTCTAGCCGTGTCGCTTGCATGGATCCACATAAAATGCTTTTCTGACGTGCCAATCAAGTTTAAATCCTATTCAGATACTGGAAGAGTCCTATTTAGGAAGAAATATAAAACCTAAAAAGTTTCCTATCTCCAAAACGTACAAGCGACTTAATTTTTGTTGTCACGACCATAGATATTGTTTATGCTCTGTAGAGACAAGGTAGGACTCTCGATTCTATTTGGATTGATATTGATACAATTAGCTATATATATATAAACACTGTATTTACCGATACAGTATATATATATATACATCGTAGTTACTTGGTCTTATCTAATGTGTTAATTGGTATATATATATCTATTCTGCATTTAATTGATTTTACAGTATTTACTGATATAGTGTGTATTTATGTGTGTGTGTATATATATGTGTGTGTGTATATATATTTATATATATATAATATATATATATCGTATATATATACATTATATATACTATATATATCGTATTTACTGTCGTTATCGTCATTGTCCGGACGTCATCCTCGTTGTTGAATCACATAAGTTGTATAGTGATTTACTCTTATAGATTTGTGTTTCTTTGTGTTTTCTTTGTTTAGGGTTTCTTTTTTTTTC